AATAGCAAATGTTTTATGACTGCTCCACCCACACACACACACACACACACACACACCATTGTATCCTGCATATACTGCATACACACATATATTTTAACAAAAGTAGACAAATTTTGAAAGCCTGAGGTCAAAAGTTTTTTGATCATAGTTCATACAATTTTTGTTTTGTTTTGTTTTGTTTAGCATACCTATTGATTGTACTATTGTACTTTTGTATAAACATACAATTCTATTTATTTATGTTTGATACATGTTGATACCTGTTGCATGATTCATGATTGGACAAGAATTTTAAAAACAAGATGTGTCCCTTTATATATAAACTTTGTTATGTTAATTTCGATTAATTTCCCTGAAGAAGTTCGGACCAGATTGCCGAACGAAACGTTGGAATTAATCATTTCAATTTCGCTGAGATTTTACAAATATAACTTTATAAATGTCTACTTCTCACTCAGCGCTCAATTATTTTGCAACTATCCGATGAAATCTTGATCACAGTTCGTATGAACCCTGACCTAAGTTGAAACATTTTAGTCAGTTATATTACGTCATCTGACGTACTAACTCAATAATGTAGATATGACAATTTGACATTATTTTCAAGTGTTGGATTTGTAGGGATTTTGTTTGATTGCATGGAGGATTTCATCATGAGATGACATCAGCTATAAAACCACTGGAAAACCTGGTGGGTGTGTATTGATGAAGATACCCAAACTAGGACGAGACAGCTGTCCAGTACTCCCGGGTTTTCCAGTGGTTCTCTAACTGATATCAGCTCATGATGAAATCCTCCATGCAATTTGACATTAGTCATTACAAATATATGATGACTGCTTACACTTTTATACTGATACATATGTCTACAGACAAGTGACCTTCAAAGGAACTGGCTTCAGTCTATGTCATTTTTTCTGACTGTATATTTTGATGGTTAATAAAATTCGAATTATTCTGCTGCTGAAAAAGCTGTGACTTACACAGTGAAACGTTCAGCAAAATCTTGTTATGATTTTTTTTAACACGCTGGGATTATTTTAAATAATTTTTAATGATTCAATCTGACTCGGCGCTCAAATTATTCCAAGAAATTCGTAAAACCTACGGTTTGGAAAGTTATACACATTTATTGACATCTGATGTCAGTGTTTAAGACTAACGCCTTATACATTGTATGATTTTCTAAAGTTATGCAATTATCTTAGAGTCAGTTCAAATTACAAGTTTGCTTCAAATAGGCTTCTTTAACAGATACCTTGATATAGCCTGGATGAACGACTCAAAGTAACTTGTTTGGTAATTTGGTCAGTAGTAGAATCCAGAATGCGCATCCCGTCTTGTTCGCAATTCGTCATCTGGATGTTTCTCCACTCTCCAGTGATTCTGTGACAACAGAAGACAAGGGCCAGTCAACAGATCGTTTACCGCGAAAATCAACAGATATTTATAGTTTTTATGTACATTATTATTCGTTATTATTAACAGAGAAACAGCGTCTTCTGATTGGTTGTTTCCTTTCTGAGTATTAATCTGTCATTTCTTTGTGGCCGTTTCTTTGACCACATATCTGCGAATCGTATCCGCCCACGCAAAGTCTGCCGTGATTGGTTGTTGAGTTAGTCTTCGATCTTGTTTTTTCTCATGACCAAGATTTGGGACGTAAACATTGACGTAAATTGTTGTCTATCAATTTTGGCTAGCAAACAGCTATCACCACAATTCTACTGCTAATCACCGCCAAAACAAGTATCATCGTGTCATTAAACCAAGTTATATTTAGGCAACATCATTTCAACTACCTGCTGGACGAATGTGGATGTCAAAGCCAGTCACAATATGAAAGGAAGACAGACTTTCATTAGTCTGAAATCAGTCAGTCAATGCTATATATGGTTCAGAGACTTAGACTGCATATCATCAAAAGTATTTCGAAAAGGCTTCAGACTTTTGTTAACAGCTGTCTCCACTTCATAGTGAAGATCGGATGACCGACTAGAAAGGATTAGCCACAAGGAACTCTGACAACGAACCAACCAAGAACCTCGTCCTTAGGTGACATGAATGAGATCATGTGAGGAGGAGATAAGAACTTATAGGAAATCGCAGAATTAACTAAAGCCGACTTCAGGAAACAGGATAAGACGGAAATGCTCTGCTGAAGCCCTGTGTTCCAGAGGGACCCTAAGGAAATATTAATAATCATATCGAGGCATCCACTCAAGTAGTTCGCATGCTAAAATCAGGCTGATGAATTCGTTCAGATATATGTCAACGGGAAATCACAAAAATATGAACAAATTGTAAAGAATTACTACAGAAGCTATGAAAATGTAACTGTAACTATTCTTTTTGGAAAAAAAAGCTAAACATTCAATAAAGGAAATGGTAAAGTTAAGGAGGTCAGGGTCAACGACAAAAAGAATGCAGAACTTTACACAGAATGACATCCACTGAAACTACTATGCCCCTCAAAAAGAAAACACACACATTAGAATAGTGACAAAAAATATGTAGTGAAAATAAGATAAAGGAAGATGTATAGAAAAAAGGAATAATCAAGTGAAAATTGGCATAGATTTGAAAGATGGTAAGTTAAAGAAGCCCTATTCATCACCAGAGTTATTATCACATAAGCTACAATGGTATTTGCTTCTAGTCTGAACACTCTCTGTTACATCCTTTCGGCATGTCAGAATCTGTAGAAAAATTTGTTTCAGCCAGTGTAACTATCTGAATCACTATGTCAAAGTGACGACTACCGTTCAGTACACTACATCCATTTCTATTACCCAATATAAAAACTAAAATTTTAAGAGTAAGTTACTGCTAGATTATCAATAACTGATACAAAAGCAGCAAGTAGACATGATCAGATTACGTAATTCATTCTACCAGCATGCTATCAGATTAAAGAAGGAGGATTTATGTATACAGTAGGAGACAGTAGTTAAATCTTCAATCTACCTTGGTAGAATACTTTTATTTTACCTTCATGATTTTCCTTATCTTTCCTCTTCTCTTTACATTGTTTCTACGAATACTTCTACTATTATCACTATTATTATTATTACGTTATCTCACATACCGTTAATTTTTCTTAGGATGTGTACGAATCGAAAATCACAGTTGAGTATTAGTCTTAGTGAGCAGTGTTCAAACTATCTTATCAAATTAAATCAGACATCTTATTTAATCCTATAGGGTTAACATGTGTTATATTTGTTTATTTGTGTTAGTTATGATGTTTCCTTGTATTTCACTGCTATTATCATATCTCTAGATGCTTATAGTTGTATTAATCCTACAACAATAACACCAGTTTATACGTTAATATGTACTTTGACGAATATTATTCAAAAATTAGAAACAATTCATCCCTTTTATAAATTTGGATAGCTTTATTAGAAGACGGAGGTTATCTGAAAAATGTCATGTATTTGCGTTAAACATTTCGAACAATCTGATCACACATTTATCTGTCGAGTCGATATATATAAAAAAAATTAACGCTAATTAAATTTTAAAAAAGTGACAAAAAAGGATTTAAAAATGATTAACACAACGTTTGGTTATTCAACCAGACGAGGATTACCAAGGTAGATTAGGAGTAACAATAAACTGCTTTTGAATAGACAGTGGGGGGGGGATGGTTAAGTTTATGAATGGCTAAAGCTATATTATTATTCACCTAATAATGACGTTAACAGATTATCGGTTACCACTTATAGATAATATATTTGTTGAAATTGATAGCTATTTATTGTCAAAATGTTCATGTGTTTGCATGTATTCAACCTTAAAAGGATATCGGATAGATAACAATGTTTGTGTAAAGTATTCAGCTGACGAGTGCCTCTACTGAAATTCATGGATTCATTAAATACCTTGTTTTTTCCTAGTTGTTAGTTGTTTTATACTTTTTATAAAAACTGAAACTCTTCGAAGGCTGTTTTCAGTAAGACTACGCTTAAATTACTTCTATGTGATTCAAAGACTTGGTGCGTCAACAATAGGATTTATCACAAACTTCAGACTTTTATCAACTGCTGACTTCGCTCCATACTCAAGATCAGATGGCTAGTCATAAATGATCAACCACAAGAAACCCTGTTGACAAACAAATTACGAACCTATAGTTAAACAAATATGTGGATGAAAACGGAGATGCATCGGACATACACTAAGGAGACCGTTAATAGAATATATCCTAGATGTGTGTGTTTTGTCAGTTTTTCTCTTTTTTTCTTTTTCTCTCACATCAAGATTCAATAAACCGATGAGTTGATCCCATTCACTGATTTGGCTTGTATTGGATTCTCTTCTATTTCTAAGAATGCTGTAAGTACCTTGTTTTAGAATTAACCTCTGAGTGATTTCAACTCCTGACAAAGTGTGGTTGTATGTAAGTTGAGAGAGGACATCGGTTAGATAAACATGTGTTGGTTGATAATTGAAAGTGGTATTAGATGGTTGGAGGCAATCGGCAGGAAGCCCTACCTGACCTAGGTTTCGTGCTAGTTGGCACTCGTCAGCAAGGCGTATCTGCAACCTTGAAGGAATTCACGGCCCTTCTGAGATTCGAACCCACGTCACCCAGTGCTGCAGTCAGAGACGTTACCACTGAGCTATTCGGGCTCGCGATTGACCTCCTGTAGGACTGCTGACGACTGCCAACTAGCACGAAACCTAGGTCCAAGGCTTCCTGCCGATTGCCTCCAACCATCTAATATCATCAAATCAATGTGCACCGTGATGGCGAGCTAGCTGGAATGCAAACCTGACTGATAGAATTCAGTCAACACCAATCAGAGGACTAGACGCATCACACTAGTTACTAGTATCAAATCAAAATTGAAAGTGGTGTCAAGCAAAATTCGCTTTACACAAATCCATATACGATTAATTGACAAATTAAACAAAACTGTAGCTGGATACATATGCTAATACTTAAAGTGTATAAAATTCTTATGAAAAGAAAATAAAGCAGCATAGCTTACCAGGTATACGTAAAAGTTCAATATCTACTTCTGGCCAACGATACTGTTTACTTTTATCGAATTTCCAATCGAGTAAAAAATTCCCATTATCTGTTACAACTGGACCCTGCAATAATAAAAATAAAAATAATAACGATAAACAAAATTAAATACTCGACAGTTATACCTTACAATGTGTTCTCATACGAGACTTCTAGGTCAGTGATTTAAAGATTTGACTTATAGGTTCCAGGTTGTAGATTAGAATGCTACCTCACCACACCTTCTACTTAAATAGTTGGAAGATAGTAGCATAAAATACTAGAAAAGATATTTATAGCTTAGTGTACAAAGTTTTATGAATCCTCACCATGTATGTTATATCAAATTAACTAAACTAATATGAAATTATATTTCACCATAGCGCTTAAATTCTTCTATATTAGCTAATGGAATGCACTTTTCAAATGTTGGTTTGCAGGGATTTGATTGACCGCAAACTGACTTCAGTTAGAGAACCATGGAAAACCAAGAAGTACTTTAGGGGCGTCTCATCAACACTCAGAAATTACTCAAGTGTTGGTTTGTAGGGATTTGATTGGTTTACAGGATTTCATCATGAGCTGACATTAGTTAGAGAACCATTGGAAAACCTACATGGAGTACTGGACAGCAGTTTCGTCCTAGTTTGGGACTCTTCAGCAGTACGCACTCACCGGGATTCGAACCCAGGACCTTCAGGTTACAAGGCGAGCTTGTATACCATTAACTCACTGGGACTCGACTAACCAAACCAACACTTGAATATCAATGAAATGCTCACTAGCGACTTGCCCTAGTGAGAAGTCGTGACCAGTAGAGTGCAGCCGGTCGGGTGTGAAGACAAATACTCGCCGAAGACATTCGCTAGGGGTCGCGCTATGTCATCAACTGGCAGAAGTTGGAATTCATGAAGTGGCAGATACTCACTGATGATATTGGCTGGTGTTAGCGCTATATACCATCAAGTGGCAGGAGTTAGAATTGATTGGTCAACGGCTAAGTAGTTTGATTATTCGTCTTTTTTTTATTTTGTCTTGTGAACTGGTTATTGACATATATAAACAAAAGGATTCATAGAATAAAAAGGCTAGCTAGGAAGGAGTTGTGATTACTCCTGTTTTACACATTAACCAATAACTCATAGGTCTAGGAGTAAGTTTATAGCATTATCGATGTATTCAAGGATTTAAACACTTTATTTTTTCCTCATCGTATACTATTACAAAAGATTCATCTTAATCAGCATTAATTTACCGTAGGTGAATTGATTAGTAATATCAAAAATGCTATTAACTGATTGCTGTACTCTGTTTCGTACGCATTTTAGCATTATTCAGTTAGTTGTTCCACCTACTTACTCTATAAAGTCAAACACGTGGATCTTTAAAATGGACATTACATATTTGATTCAGTAACTGGAAAGTGTCGATTTTACAAGTTCACATGACTGCAAATCCACATCTTTCTTCACTGTTGAATATATATCGGCAAGGTTGTAAAATGACTTCAGGTCCTACGAATTACCAATCAATATATAAAATAAGTGAAATCAAGACTCTATTGTGGTTACCGTTTTTATTCTCTGAATCTTTTATTTATGTATGTTAATAGACAGTTCAAAAAACAAATTAGGTCATGAATGATCAATATTATTCACTTCTTTCATGCTGAGATGACTTTGTTTTAGCACATTGTCACCGACTTTGTAGTGGATGATGGTAGGTAAATGAAAGTTTAAGTTGCGTCAAGATTCAGATCAACTACCTCCGAATTAGTATTCTGACACTACACCAGCTGATGATCCAACTAGTAGCTAATACCTTGACATAGTGACGTCGGGTATACAAATTGCAATGACCCAACGAGCTAAACTGTCTGGAACTAGTGTCTTTGCAGGTCATACTATGCCAGAAAGGTCGTTTGGATGGCAGTTGGACTAAAAGCAGTTACCATCATAAAAAAAGTCATTTATACTATGCTGAGAGTCTGTAGAAGAATTCGTATTGCTATTGAATAGGGACTAGCAATTCAGGTATGCTGTCACCCCACTCCGAAGGAGAGAGGGGTTAGAATAGGTTAAACCGGAAAACTATACATGCTGACTAACCTCGTGGCGTAAGATCTGAATGCGAAAACCATTTTTAAACAGTCTATGTGTCATCGGTCCCAAGTAGTTTTCCCCAAGAATCTGAGGTCGCGTAACACTAATGCTCCTTTTATTTCAGGCATTCGAGGAAGAAATCAACTTCCAGTGTGATCAGTCGGGAAGTAATAATCGCCTATACACTTCCATAAGCAAAAGGGATGGCCGAATCGAAATTAGGCATTAATCCATGAAGTAGTTGACTGCTGGCTTTTGTCCCGTAGGATGGTGTAGACTACTTGGTTGGGTTTCGGTATGTGGGGACTATTAGTGATATGAATCAAAACCCCTCTCAATGGCACAAATTTATTCATTCTCTGTGACTACTCGAGGTCCGTTAGGTCTTTTTGTTTCTTCATGTTACCATCCTTTCTTCCGTACATTTCTACTTCTTATACTTCTTTTGAATTTCCTCTTTCTATTCTTCGCCTCTGTATGCTACACAAATTGTGGCAACTGAAACCACTGGAACAAATTTTTATACCAAAACATGATAAATCTAATGATTATAAGGGCATTCTTTGTAAATACACAATAAACATAAACACATACCATCTTTGAAACGGCTTCTCGGAGAATAGCTCGTCCACCAAATAATTTCTCTATTCGTGTTTGCACTGGTTTGTATGCCATAGGAATAACTTCAATCGGTAATCCTTTAGTCCAGTAAGATCCCAGAGTTTTAGAAGATTTTCTATAGAATTTTGGTAAGTATTTCAATAGGAGAAGGAGAAATAGACTAAAATAAATAGCGTTTCCTATGAAATAATGTCTACTTGGTAGTATTGATTGTTAGATCCCAAAGAAGCGACATCAGTTATAGAACCGTTGTAAACCAGATAATACTGAACAGCTATTTCGTCCCAGTTTCGGACTCTTCACAGTACACAGAACCTTCATATTAAGACGTGAATCCGTCAACCAAGCATGCAGCCGGACAAGATCTAATAGCCCATGAATTCTAACTCATATCAATTCGCGACACCTAACGCTACAGTCTGTCAGTACTTTCCGAGTTCCAGTGATTCTCTAAATGATGTCAAATCAAATCTCTGCAAACCGACACCTGAAAATACTAACTGTTTAAAATAACTCGAATTCAAATAAAATCGAACTAATCACCTGGTCAGTAATTTTATGGAAAAGCGTATATCTTGAATTACTATATCTTCGAATAAGAGATCTCTTACACACACATAGACACTACTTAGTATGAGATTACATAGACAGAAAGACAGACAAACAAAACAGTGTAGAATTTCACACAGGGGAAGATCATTGATCCAAGATGTTGGAATTTCAACAGCATAAATGAAGGGAAATCAGAATGTATGCTGAAATGAATATTTAGTACTGAACTTTTCACTGATATTCAGCAGTCCAAGTTACTATACTCACTAGCAGAAAAAAGCAAATGAACAGAAACTATAATAAACGAAAATATACAGGAGAAATAATAGTTTCATGAAGAATAATGAGAATTTAATGGGCTTGAGGGACCAGAAAGAGTGAATGCGTCTATGACACCAAGAACCATATCTCCAACAGTCTTAAACCATTGCTTCTTAGCGTCTCGACGACCCTAGCCAGACAGTTCACACCTCCATATATGGCTAAAAACAAACAGTCAGACTTCATAGATTGGTCCAGTGTTTTGATTCGACCCCCTGTAACTCTTCTCCCGAGTAATCCTATTTCAGCTAACACTGCTAAATGAAAAAGGTTGCGACTTGGCGTGCGTAACACATGTTCTAGACATCTCAGTCAATGAACCTTAGAAACTTTCCCTTCCCACAGAATATTACACCTCGAAGCTACATGCCACGTTATATTATCTAACATGTGAGACAGAAGTCACACAACTACGATCAGAGACAACCAGTCTCTTCGTATCTTCTACTTTCAGTGGCCATGTGACAGTGGTAAAGAAGGACGGGGAGAAATGCTGCACAGAACACACATCCTTTGATTGACAAATCTTATGCAGATAGATATGAAGTAGGATATAAACAGAAAGAAGATAAAGAGGCATAATGTAGTAGATTACAGTAAAAACGCTCACAGTTTGCTTGTACCACACAAATATCAACACTTCTGTAGGTTTAGTCAGCTGTATTTTCAAGACATCGTGTATTTAGTGAAACGAAGAGAAAAATGATAGAAATAATTCGCCGCTGGAGAAAAATCAGAAAAAACCAACAGAAGTTTGAAAATTCGGAGGCCATATGATTTCAATGCATTGGTAATTTACTTTCCATGAAACCTGACAATACTCCAATCAACCCTCTAAGTGGTTGCAAATTCATATCAGGTCGAGTTATAAATGTCGTGTTGTGCTCATAATACTACCCAGTAGGCATGATTGAAGTAGGCAGAACAAAATTCGAACATACTGACAGAAAGTGAAGTGATAGAGAAGATTTGTACCTCAATATATAATTTTGATGTGGTTTTGTTCTCTGAGCTGGATGGTTAGTTTGCGAAGCTTTCATCACCTTACTGGGTGACATCTTCAGCGCATACTTCAAATTGAAGTGAGCTTTTAGGTTTCTCCACGAGTTTATTAATCATTCCTCCTGGTGACCTTGGACGTGATTGGTTGTTTATGTGTGTTTTCACACCTTCTAGGTTACTTGTGTTGGAACTGATTGTTTCTGTGACTTGAACTTTGGCCAATCGTGTGTGAAGTTTCTTTCTTATTGGTTGATAAATTTTGTCTATCTCGATGTGTCTATTGATTGATGATTCACTGGAATGCCAAGCTTCTAAAAATTCTCTAGCATTCTTGTTATTTCCTTTGTCTAATATTTGAACGTTGTCCCAGTCGAATTGATGTCCGTGGTTGTCTGTGTGTAGTGAAATGAGGGAGTGTATATCATGTCTTTTGACGGCTAGCTTATGTTCGTGGATACGAAGACGAAGGGGACGTCCACTTTGGCCAATGTAGTGTTTTTCACAGTTGTTACAGTTTATTTTGTAGATGATGTTGGTTTTGTCTTCTTTTGCTGTTGAGTCTTTTGGTTGACATAGAATTGAGTGCAGCGACTTTGTTGGTTTGTGTACGACGTCAATTCCTAAAGGTTTGAAGAGTCTTTTAGTGATTTCTGAGATATCCTTTATATATGGTAAGGCGATTTTCTTTGTGTTTTCCTTGGTGGCTTTTGTTTTGGTAGGTTGGCTTGGGGGTATATGTCTCTTGATGAAATTCCGGGATATCCATTCTTTTGGAAGACGTCCATGAGATACTTTTCTTCAATTTTTCTTAAGGTGGGAGTGCTGCAGTGAGTCCTTGCTCTCTTGAATAGTGTTTGTATGCAGTTCCTTTTGTGTGCTATTGGGTTGTTGCTGTTGTAATTCAGTATTTGGTCTGTGTGAGTTGATTTCCTATAAACTTGAGTTTCTAATTCTCCTGTAGTTGTTCGCCTGACTAAGACGTCCAAAAATGGTATTTTGTTCTCGGATTCCTCTTCTCTTGTGAATTTGATGTCGTTGAAGACGTTGTTTATTAAGTTGTGAGTTTTGTCTAATTCGTTTCTTTTGATTATTACAAATGTGTCGTCGACGTAGCGTATCCAAATCTTGGGTTTGATCTTTGGTAGAATTATGTTTTCGAGTCTTTGCATCACTGCTTCTGCAATCAAACCTGATATTGGCGATCCCATGGGTGTTCCTTTGACTTGTTCATATATTTGGCCGTTGAATTGGAAGTATGTTGTTAGGCATAGATTTATGCATTCCATCCAGCTTGTGTGTTGCATTTTTGATTGTTGTGGAAGTTGTTCGTCGTTGCTAAGTAATTGCTCCATGGTTTCTTTTGCTAGTTTTTGTCCGATAGAGGTATATAATGCTGTCACGTCGAAGGATACCATTATTTCTTGTTCATCTATTTGGATGTCTCTGATTTTCTCTAGGAATTGGATAGCAGAGTTGATGGAGTGATCACAGGATTCCGTTAGGTGTTTTAGTTTTCTGTATAATTCCTTGGACAAATTATATGTTGGAGTTCCTGGGAGTGATACAATTGGTCGTAACGGGATATTTGCCTTGTGTATTTTGGGTCTGCCGTAGAATCGAGGTAGGACTGGTCCATTGGATTTCATTCGCCATTGGTCTTGTTTTGTGATCTGTCCAGTTTTGCTGAGCTTGTTTAAGGTCCTTTGGATGCGGTTGTCCAATGTTTGTATGGGATTTGTTGGGAGTTGTTGATATACATCTTCATCTTTGAGTAGTTCTTCAGCTTTCTTGGTGTATTCTTCTCTGTCCATGACTACTGTTGTTCTTCCTTTGTCGGCTGGTAAAATAGGAAGGACATCGCCAAATATATGAACAAGTCAAAGGAACACCCATGGGATCGCCAATATCAGGTTTGATTGCAGAAGCAGTGATGCAAAGACTCGAAAACATAATTCTACCAAAGATCAAACCCAAGATTTGGATACGCTACGTCGACGACACATTTGTAATAATCAAAAGAAACGAATTAGACAAAACTCACAACTTAATAAACAACGTCTTCAACGACATCAAATTCACAAGAGAAGAGGAATCCGAGAACAAAATACCATTTTTGGACGTCTTAGTCAGGCGAACAACTACAGGAGAATTAGAAACTCAAGTTTATAGGAAATCAACTCACGCAGACCAAATACTGAATTACAACAGCAACAACCCAATAGCACACAAAAGGAATTGCATACAAACACTATTCAAGAGAGCAAGGACTCACTGCAGCACTCCCACCTTAAGGAAAATTGAAGAAAAGTATCTCATGGACGTCTTCCAAAAGAATGGATATCCGCGGAATTTCATCAAGAGACATATACCCCCAAGCCAACCTACCAAAACAAAAGCCACCAAGGAAAACACAAAGAAAATCGCCTTACCATATATAAAGGATATCTCAGAAGTCACTACAAGACTCTTCAAACCTTTAGGAATTGACGTCGTACACAAACCAACAAAGTAGCTCCACTCAATTCTATGTCAACCAAAAGACTCAACAGCGAAAGAAGACAAAACCAACATCATCTACAAAATAAACTGTAACAACTGTGAAAAACACTACATTGGCCAAAGTGGACGTCCCCTTCGTCTTCGTATCCACGAACATAAGCTAGCCATTAAAAGACATGATATGCACTCCCTCATTTCACTACACACAGACAACCACGGACATCAATTCGACTGGGACAACGTTCAAATATTAGACAAAGGAAATAACAAGAATGCTAGAGAATTTTTAGAAGCTTGGCATTCCAGTGAATCATCAATCAATAGACACATCGAGATAGACAAAATTTATCAACCAATAAGAAAGAAACTTCACACACAAAGGGTCAAAGTTCAAGTCACAGAAACAATCAGTTCCAACACAAATAACCTACAAGGTGTGAAAACACACATAAACAACCAATCACGTCCAAGGTCACCAGGAGGAATGATTAATAAACTCGTGGAGAAACCTAAAAGCTCACTTCAAATTGAAGTATGCGCTGAAGATGTCACCTAGTAGGGCGATGAAAGCTTCACAAACTAACCATCCAGCTCAGAGAACAAAACCACATCAAAAGAAAGTGAAGTACTAAAACTGATGACCTCCATCTCCACTAACTTTTAAAGATGACGATTCGCAAGCTAAAATGAAACAACTACCTATTTACTACTTTCCAGTATGATATACATCTCTAGATAACACGGATTCGCGATGAAAATCACCTTTGAATACATGATAGGGTGATTATTTTGTTTTTACACCACACGTCACTACAGCACGCTTACTTCTTTAACAGACAATCACTAGTACCGCTAATAATGCCTTTTGATAAATATCTAACTTAATTTTGCCATATACATCGACAATTTCATTAGCAACCAACCTATTCAAGGTTTGTGTAATTTAAAATCGAGTAGCCATCGAGAATTCCAATGCTTCAAGCTGCTCTACCGCTCTAAGCTGAGTTAAAACAAGTGCAAACAGTGTTAAGATCACCTTAGTCTAGCTAGCAAGCAATAGCAGTTCATATGACTGTTTTCCGAATACTTCTATCAATCAACCAGTAGTCTATAACCTTCGAATTACCTAGTAAATAAACAAAAAAAATCGATAAATTTAATTAATTCACCTTCTAATCCCTAAGCTGTGTATCGATGCACACCCATCTTGCAGTATCATTTTATGCTGAATTAGTAAAGAAGTGAGTGTTTTTTCCTTCACATTCCCTCAGTGGAACATAGGACTTCAAGCTAGGGGCTTGAAGTTTCTGTAGTAGTGTTTTTTTACATGAGGGGGTTGCTAGCCTCATACCCAACCTTTCCTCTTTACCAACATTATTTCTGGCTTAGCGAGGTAAAGGAGTGCGTCGGCCGGGGATCGAACCCTGGACCATGTGCATGGTCGGCGAGCGTCCTAACCGCTATGCCATCGACGCACTGAGAAGTGAGTTGAAGGGATAATATTTTTCATTGTATAAGATTATTGCTATTATTATAATAAGTGTTATGGACAGCAGACGAATAGCAGCTAAGCAAGTATCAACTAACCGTTCATCTACAATAGCAATAAAATTAGTAGTACATGAGGCGACAATTTTCTCCTGTAGTAAACAACCACCACCACCTTTGATTAAATTCAACTTTTCATCCACTTCATCAGCTCCATCAAATGTCACATCAATCTAAATGTATAACCATTATTTATGAAATAGAAAAGACTATTACTTGTTCACACATTTCAAGATCTGTTACTGGTAGTTTGTGACTGATTAGAAGTTGTCTGGCCTAGATGATAAACCAATAAAAAATTAACAGTGCGATGATGATGATAATAGTAAAGACAGCAAAAGTGAAGTGGAATGAATTCAAGTGGTAAAATAAAAGAACATTACTATGACCAAGGTAAAGAAAAGGATTTAACAGAACGTTTTTGAACACATAATTTAGGTTTCTGTCTACGTATATCTACACCTTCGGTTATGCATAAGTGGAGAAAACGTAAGCTTTTCGAGTGGTTGGATTTGGTCCTGTAAATAACTTTGAAGGATAAATCACTTGGAGCTGAATGACCTAACTCAAGAATGTGTTGACAAATTGAAGACTTCGTCGTTCTATGCTCACACCTTTCACTAACCAAACTGGGTAGTATTCAGCTCCACAATTACGGAGAACAAGCTTACAACGTCCAATGTAATCAGCTCCACACGAGCATGTGAATGAGTATATGAACATGAAGGTGGACATAAGCAGTAGTTTATCGCTAACGTATTGTCGAATCATATTTCGGCTGATAAATACTACATGTAAGTGAGCTGCATAAAAAGAGCGTTTAATACATTTAGATAGACGACTTTTAATCACTTCAGCAAGAGTGTCACCTATGAACGTCAAAATCATAAAGTGTCTTCTTTGGCACTGTGATTTCGTTGGGGACGGTTTCTTTCTTGATGTTTCTGTCAATAAACCTTCAAGGATATCCATCATTTAAGAGATTTGTGTGGTTTTTTAGTCCTATGTAAAACATATCTATAGAGCAGATTTTCTAAAATTCTGACAAATCTGTCCCTTTCGAATGATTGCGCTTTTCTAATTATTTGGTTGAAGAGAACTCATTGTTGTGTAATACACACTTGACTCTCAAACAAGGAATTACGCTGTAACTGGCACAAAACGCATCGAACGTGGCTTCAAACCTATGGTGTACATAGGCTCCAGAATCTGAATGTATTGAAAGGCTTATGAACTTGCTTTGGTCGCCAACAACCATGGGAATGCAACTCGTGATATTGCTGCACTGCCTTGTGGATCAGATTTCAAGCCAAAGGCTCAGGATGTGATCCATTTAGGCAACTAACTGCTTCAGTCTGGAGATTCGGGCAGTATTATCGCAGCCGTTGTACAAATTCTGCGATAACAGTTTGTGTGGCGCATCTCTTGGTGTACATAAAGTAACAGGTTTGTGTCTTGTTAATAGTAATAATAATAATTAATTATTCGCAAAAGTAATAATTCATGAACAACTAACTAACTTGAAAAGAAGTTGGTATACACTGGATATGTAAATGCTGTTTCTTAACTTGTTCAGCTAAAATAGATAATAGGAGGAGATAAAAACAAATAACATAATTGAAAAATTTATTTTACTACAAATGAATATTTTAATTACCGATATATTCTACAGCATATTTAATTGTTGTACCACTACCAAGACCGACAATTTGATTATCCTTAAAATAAAACATTAAAGTAAAAGAAATTAACATTAATTATTATTTTTCTTGTTAATATGTTTAAAACTACCTTAAGCCAATCACGTACAGCTGACTGACAAGCATTCTTTTTTGCTAATTCTAAGGCGGCTGATTCATCCATTGAAGAAGTACTATAATGAGACTTGAGTAGTGAACTAAAGTAGGGAATAATAAAAATAATTATAATAATAATGACGATAAGGAAAAATTCAAAGAATTCGTTATAACAATGCTAATGGAAAAATGAATAAAGGATGGATATCCTGGAGTTTTGATAAAACGTTGTGATTGGCAGGATCCACCAAGTACGCGCAGATAGATACTCAACTACGATATTCGCTAGCGGTAGTGGAGTTAGATATCATGGATCATTGAATTCTATCCCACTGGCTGCATAGTCAACAAGCGCTTCGCGTAACCTGAGTTCAATCCCTAGTGGGATTGTTGGTACGTAGTGTCGGCGAGTCTCAGTATTCCCTGGTTCTCTAGCTGATATCGGTTCGTGACAAAATCTACCTTGAAATCCAACATTTCCGATAGTTCAGTGAATGTGATTCATCCATTTTTTGAAACGCTACGAAGAAGATTAAGTGTCCTGTAAGAGTTAATTGGGAACCGATAGACAATAGCCTTCAGATATCATAAGATGCTGAGTCATTCAGCTGTGATCAGGACTCGAGGTGAATGAAAGACTTCAGTTTGAGTTCACATACACACTAGAGGATGAGCAACTTAAAATCAACAACCTGGCCTCTTTTCTTGAATAAAAGAGCCATATCAAAACAATCCAAATAGATTTCTGTCCCAGTCGCGATTGAAATTAGAAAAAAAACGTAATAACCAAGGCTGAACTAAGCAATCAAAGTCGAAAAATGACCAGGATTTATACCACTCAGTTAAGTGCTGACCAAACTAATTAACAGTATGGAAGTTTACACAATAACAATAAGTACAGAAGAAATTGTAAGGCGATAGACACCCTGACGATTGTGTCTGTTCGCCGGTTTCTTATTCTCCAAGTTTACCTACTTTTGAGGACAATTTTCAAGGTGAGTCCAGACCACAACGATAAAGATTGTCTTTATAGATAAGATTCCATTTTGATAAATCACAGAGTATTGGTTTTGTAGGGATTTTTGTTTGATTACATGGAGGATGTCAGCTCATGATTAAATCCTCCATGAAATCACAGAGTGTTGTACAGTAATATTAACTGATGACGTTTCGAGCACAAATTATCGCCACTCATAATCATATCAAGTCACTCACACAACTTTTTACTTCATTTATATACCTCAGTGGAATTGATTAGACATTTGAATAAAAATCAATATAAGATAAAGTACATTCAGAAATAATATTAGTGTTACTGATCAAATACAATCAGATGGGAAATAAGACGAGTGTTTTTATAGTCAAAATAAGTAACTTGTTAGAATGTTATGATGTACGTGAGTTGAAATATAATTTTAAGATTATTTATCATCCTCCTCTGATTTGATTGGTGGTAATAATATCTTCCATATATCTGGTATTTGTGTTGAGTCATTTCTATCGCATGTGTTGGTTGTAGACTAGATGAACCACGATTCAGGAATCAAACTCTCTCTCTCCACCTATCTATATTATAAGAATTTTGACTGTGTCCCACCCACCTTATTGTGTGGTTGTGTGTTAATGCATACAGTACGATTGTTGAGTTTTTCTCTAAATTACTTATCTTCTCGGGGTCAACCATTCTTACCTTAGCTAAATTCTTATGTTCTGACAATCTGACTACCCCCAACCTACTAGTTTGACTTACATAGTTGACCTCACAGTGATTGCAAGGTATTTTGTAAATTATATTATTTTGTTTGATTTGGGTCCACCGGGTCTTTTAGGTTACAGAGCTTGTCTCTTAGTGAGTTTTTGGGTTTGAATGCCACCTTAATTCCTGCTTTATCGAGAATCCTACGTAGGGTCTCAGATGTCCCCGCTTATATGGTATAACAGTAGATGACTTATCATTATTAGTTTCACCGTTATTTTTATTTTGCTTTTGACCTATTTTGATATTCCTAATGAATTTTATAGGATAATTATTTAACACCAACACCTCTTCTATCTGTTTCATTTCATCGTTTAGGTCTTTTTTGTGCTACTTGGTGCTATTGCTAGGTTTGTTAGACACTTAACTAAGCCAGCCTTTACAGACAACGGATGAGATGAATTAAAGTCGAAATGTCTATTAGAATGCGTTGGCTTTTGATAAACGCTAGTGTGCAGTTTACCTTCTTTCGTTCGATTTATTATGCAGTCTAACATAGTTAATTCTCGAATTGAATTTTTGATTTTCCCGTCGATTGATTGGACCGAAGTGCTCGGTCTCAGGTTGACGGGAAAATCAAAAATTCAAATCAATAATTAATATGGCCCGTTGCACAAGAGGTGGCTCTCGTGGCCCAGGTGGTCTAGTGGATAACGCTTTGGCGTTTGAAACTATGGTCACTGGGTTCGAGCCTCAGTGGGAACATCATCACTCACTGAGAAATGCAGGTACATCCAGCTGACGAGTCCCAAATAGGACGAAATGCGCATCCTGGATTCCACTGCTAGCCACCATCCACCAATTGTATAATAGTTAATTCTCCTTGTTTATTTTCCAATTCAAATGTAAATTTGATTCCCTCTACTAGTGAGCTTATATGCGTCAAGAAGCTAGAAATAAGTTCTGTTTTCAACATTGTGAAGGTGTCATCCACATATCTCCACCATATTTTTGGAGTAGGATTAAATGTATTTAGAGTAATATCTTCCCAGCTGTCCCTAAAGATATCTACCATAGGGGATATTGGTGATCCCATAGCTACACCATCTGTTAGTTTATATATTTTGCCCTGGAATTTAAACACAGTAGATGTGAGGCATAACTGAATTCCTAAAATAATTTTCTCAATGTGCAGCTTTCTCTTATAACTAAGTTCCGTATCATAGGTTAGTTTCCTTTGAACCGCTTCTAAGGCCATAAAGATTGTCTTTTCAAACGACTTTATATTCAAGCTCTTATTACTACACAAGTCTATTGAAGAATATGCTAATATTGGACTACTAGTGAAAGATGGATCGATTTTATGGAAAAAGTGATACATCATGGAAACGAGTATGAAATATGTTAAAATAATAAAGAATGTCATTTATATAATGCAATTTAAAATTTGCACTTTTGATTATTATACAAGATCAATTGTGTCATTATTATTTTACAACCAAATATCTCTCATATGAATTAACAGCCTAATTTCAGTACAATAATAATGGAAGTGTAATATCCCAATTATTGGAATTTCCTGTTTATCAGATGACCTATTAAATTATTTAAGAATGATAAAAGAACGCCAAAATTGTTGGGTGTATAGTAGTTTTATGTCATCTAACCTAGTGATCACGACACCTAGGTAGAATAGATTCATTTCAAATGACCCATTTAAAACTAGAAAGCTACTTTGGTTACCATTTGTTCAAGTTATTTTGTATTTCTAGTTGATTGAGTTTTACTGTACCTAAATGCTTGGCCTCGGTTAACATACCAGCTGGCTGAGACTTATGTCTCTTGAGGTCCTACCATGCCAGGCAGGTTGTTTGGATAGCGGTTAAAACCAAAAGCAGCTACCCAACCCACCATTATGATACAAACAAAATTACAAAATTTCATGCCGGATCGGCCATGGCGCGGATTAACAGCGACCACGCTTCCTGCTGCCGTGTCACAGGGCAGGAGTGATAAATATGCTACTGAGACACACCAAACAATAAAGAAGAAACAAAAACAGGCCGCGTGTGACCGGCCTCAAGCAGTTGTCCCCTGGGCACTGCGGTCACGCAACCAACTTCCACGGCTTGGGCAGCCGGGAAGTAACAATCGCCCTCACAATCCGAAATGCACACGAAACCTCTCTCTAACATACCAGCTCCTGGTACGATGTTTGGAAGTTAACATTATGTTATTCGGCTGAATCTAGGATGCACATTTCGTCCTTTGTGAGACTTATCGACTAAACCTGCAAGTATCACTAGGGTGAGAGTGATGATGTTTCCACCAAGACTCAAACTCAATACCCATCATTTCATACACCCAGAGGACAGCGCTTTGGCAAAATGCCCATTCTGGATTCTAATGCTAACTTCCATCAGCCAAATGATGCCTTAGTTACCGTTTAGAGACCAACTCATCAACATCAATCAGCCCTGAATAGGTTCATCCATGAAAAGAATAGCTTAGTAGTAAGACCTCAAACATGTACATTAAATTAGGCAGTAACAAATCTTACATAGTGTGAAAATTTATTCAAAGCTATTGTTATATCTTTATGATGAGCGACAATAAGCAAATGCCTTAGATGTGGGGTTTTCTAATAAAACTAATATCTAACACAAAGTAGGTAAAGAGGTAAATCGTCAAGGTTACAAACATTAACGTAAATAAGATATTTACAACCTACGTCCATCGAAAAAGTCTACCCCTAACATTCAATGATAGCTTAAGTGGAATTAGGCTAGAGGTAACACCGTACAATACAATACCAGTCTATAAAGTTATTAAATGTTATTTTCAGCCATGGAAGATAGCGCATGTTATCAGAATGGGGTCAGCATGAAAATAAAGGCATATACGTGGAAACATTAGGCGATATAGCTTAGAATCTATTATATTGGTGTATATGATATTTCTTAGTCCTCTGTATCTTTCCCTCTTCTTCTTTTTCCTTATGTCTACCTTCCATACTCTTACTTTCTAGTCGGTGTAAAGTGTAAATATAAACTGTGGTGACCTGAGCATTAAAACAGCAAGCAATACTTGTCATCACATATGCAATGTTTGACTATGATAGAGATCAGTTCCCTGCATATTTTACTACTGGCATTTCTGCCCATACAATAGCCTAAAAATATGCTACTTATCATGCTCGAAGCTTAAAGTTACAGTTATGTTTAACCATTCCCAAATGTATAACACTGAAATAAAAAGCACTGGGTGGCGCGGGTTTAAAGGGACATGAGTTCCTTCAAGGTTTCACATACGCCTAACTGACTGGTAAGTGCCAAATAGCATGAAACCTAGGTCAGGTAGGGCTTCCTGACGATTGCCTCCAACAATCTAATATCATCAAATAAATAAATAGTTAGACTAAGACGTAACTCCAGTTTTTAGGTCAGTTATATTCAAATTAAATATTTATAAAAACTCATATTTATGCATACACAAATCAAGATAAGACTGTGCAAACTGTTAGATAACAATCACATAAATTTATGCTAGCTGTATACCTTTTAACCATCTAATATTCAATACAGTTGCCTGTGAACAATAATGTTGCCAAACACAAAAAGAACTACACTAGATAGAGTATAGGCTTTTGTTTTAAGAAACCTAAGTATTTAAAAAAAATTGTGTTTGCGATATTACTAGTTTATATTGCGGCAAAAGTTATTGTAGCCGTAGATAAATGACGCTTGCGACTGCGAATATAATAACACATTTATCTTTACTTGTTTGTTTTATTCAATAGATAAAGATTAGTGCAGAGATATTGTAACTGTTATATAAATTGAGGAGAATAACGCATAAATTATAATTTTAAAAAAATGGAAAACGTTATCAATACAGATCTATACATTCAACAACTTTCGCTGTTTATGCAAAAGTAAGTTACACCGATATACAAACATCCCTATAGAGAAACAGTTAGCTGAAACACTGAGAAGACTAAAACAACATGGCTTTATCTCACAAAGTCAGTATAAATCACTGGAGCCTACTGGAACGTTCACACTAAGATTATATGGTTCGCCAAAAGTGCACAAAAATGGTTGACCATTTCGACCAGTATTAGATATATAATAAATTCACCATACCATCCCGCAGCCGAATGGTTAGTTGAAATCATACAGCCTCTTCATACTGAGCTGGTGAAACACAGTGTGAAGGATACTTTTGGACTTGTTGAAGGGACAAACGATTTAAAGGTTGGCAACAAATTCATGATATCATTTGACGTATATTCCTTATTCCCCAATGTACAACTTATAGAAACAGTAGACTTTGTATGCGAAGAACTCATAAAACGAAACATCGATGTTGGCATTCCCACATATTTTATAAAAGAGCTCCTGAAATGCACAATGAATGTTCACTTTTTATTGAATAAGGAACTATACAGACAAATCGATGGTGTGGCAATGGGGTCACCACTAGGACCTATTCTAGTCGACATTTTCCTTGAGAAACTAAAGAATGGGCCTTCGAAAGATGTAATTGATGAACTAGAATTCTACTGTCAATACATGGATGACACGTTTTTGATTATGAAAAATGAGGATAAAGCAAAGATCATCCTAGACAAATTTAACAATCTTCACCCTGCAATAAATTTTACCTTTAAGACAAAAACTCTAGTATTCCATTTTTAGACATCCTTATGACCAGAAAAGACGACAGTGCAATAAGAGGAAGTATATGTAGAAAACCAACATCAACTGGTCAGTATACTCATTTTTTCAGCTTCTTGCCTTTGAAATACAAACGCAATCTGATAAAGTGCTTGGTACATAGAGAAAGAGCAATGTGCTCTGATGAATGTTTTAATAAAGAACGGTTACTCGTAAAAACTAATTGGTAAGCATATGAATCAGAAATTAAGGCAGCCCAATGTACCAACAAAACGAAATAAGAGTGACGCCTTAGAAAAGATTAATATAAGGACATCAAAACAAGGTGATGACTTATGTATTTAAAAAAAGATGGGCAAGAAAATCATTCATAATGTGTAGATTAAAAACCACACCGAAGACACATAAAACGACTCTATATTACTTCAATATATCTACTAGATAATAAGGTAATAAGATATTTTTCCCGAGAAAACAATTAAAGTGTCATTTTCAGTTATAACACCAATTAATTCATGAAATATCACATAATTTTCGGTATTAACACGCCATGGTCATCTACCATTATTAAGAAATCACTTTTGATTGACAGAAAGTAATTTCATGAGAAAAACCCAAGTTTTATACTTATATAGATATTTCATTTATACCCGTATCTTTATACTGTACGTGAGTCAACTAAAGTATTTTAAAGATTTACGATTTAAGATAAAGGTCACGTAAAATAGGTTAAATCAAATTGTGAATCTCAGTTGTATTTTTGTTTGAAAAATCAAAATATTTTAGTGCACAAAATGCAGACATACTCGGCACGAAAAGCAGCAACGAAAAACTCGAGTCGAGTGGTTTATCAAGATGCATTAATTATTTATTTACAGTGAGCAGAAAGACATAACCGAAATATAGCCGAACATAATAGAGTGTTGTCAGAATCTGTAACATTACACATTTATGAAAGTGAACAAAAAATAAGGACAACGATTGTACTAATAACCTCGTTCTATGGTGAAAAGGTGTCCTGTTAATCCTGTATGACGATTCCATTTGGTTACCTGTCATATCATTTATTGCACTGCTCAAACTCGCGTTACTAATTTCAGATTTACTAACTTTAAATAAAATAGGTCTACCTACCAGAAAAGATATGTATGTGTTATTAGAAAAAGTCAGCGGAGGAAGGGGAACATTGAGGCCTAATTCTGAAGAACTAGTGAAAGCTATGTAAGTGGTAATAAAAGTATACTATAAAAATAAAAGGGAAAAGAAGAATTCGACAAAATATATGCTAGAATACCCATAATCCATGGTTTAAAAAAGATAGTTAAAAATATATGTACAAATATTAACAGCTTTAATCTCTACCGACCAGTAGATCTCATCTTCGCTTCTTTATCTCATAAACCATACAATAAACCGTTTTTTCACGATACTAGCCCTATAACTCATAAAAATGAATAGAATCAGTAATACCATAAACTCTCTAAAGCAATAGGGTAAATACTTACAACTGTAAAGAAACGTTTGTTTCTAAACAATGACTAAACTATCTTGGTAGGTAGTCTTTTAACATGCATCAGAGAATTTCAACACCAAAAATAATCAGTCACTTTAAATTAAAGCAGAGAACTGTGGTTGATAGCTAATGCACAGAAAACAGGATGTTTATATTGGCTAACGCCTTATGTTATGAATATCTGGCTTATTTGATCTATTTACCAATTATTTAAAAAAACGTGCAAACCATAAAAATCAAAAATAAGCTTTCAACTATGTAGAAAGACTTTAGTAAAATTCACACCCTCAAGTGATGAAAGGTCTAGTTAATTTCATAAGTTCTTACTATTTTGTTTCCTAAGACCTTTGGCAAAGTTTGTCACAATGATAAGGAAAACCAACACCTATTAAAGAGGTGAACAGTAACTACTAGTCAATTACATGTGAAGCAAACTACTATGTTCTTATATATGCAAAATTTGTAGAGATTAATGTGTATTCCATGGAAATTTTACGAAGTTTACGATTTATAAGGATTTGTGAATTACGTAAACCTACATCTTTAGTACGGTACAAATCTATGGGAAGAAGTATTTTGAGAAAGATTTTACCGAAGGAAATCAAACTGTGCTGTTGGCAAAACTAACCACTTATTTTCGTGCTATAAAAATTTGAAAACTACCAAAGGAAACGAAAGATGAGATCTACATTAGCTTATAACTCTGTTGTCGTAAATTAAATCTTTACCTAGTGTCGGACCGACTTCTGTCCCCCAAAAAGGTGCCATAAATTGGTAGATATCAAAATATACTCCTCCCATATTTTCTCGACAACAGATTTTCCGATTGACAGAAAATTCAGAAGCAAAGACAGTCAAATCCTCTCAAAGAAATAACAGTGGATGTTAACTGAACCTAGAAAAACACAGGCGTGGTTGGATATGTTTTAACATCATTACAGTGATTTACATTTAATTACAGCTATATAGAAGATAAATTGACGCTAGAAATCGACTTCATATTTAGGCAGTAATTTAAACTTTTGACTAAGTGCCCACAAGAAGATTTTACTTGCCAAAACAAGAAAATCATCAAAGCATTTGAAGTTTTCCCTAAAGTTTGAAGTTGCATGATGGAAGAACTCACTAATCAACTCCATTTTCAAACAAAGCTTCATAGATCAAACTGAAGACGAACGCACTACTCAACCAGCTTTCATATATAGTAGTCAGACAATAGACCCATCTAGCACTGCTTTCGGGTGCACTACAAAGAGCTTGTGGCAGACTGCAGATAATCGTCTTGCGTTCTGCGATGCTCATGAAGAAAAAGCTAGCTGGGTTATTAGCTAGACTAACAGGGAAACCAGAAAAGCAACATATTAAGATCGCGAATTACAAAGGAAGCTTACACAATTTCCGAAGACATAGTTGTGCATTATTACGGTGAGCAAAGAAAACAAGAGTATTATAGAATTCCAAAGTCATAAAAATTAAAAGTCTCTAATATGGACGTTTCATGAGCGAATGCATAGATGCAAAATCATCAGTGAATAAAACTCAGGATAATACACCAAGGTAACATTATTAACCTCTAGGTAAAAGTCATATGCATACAAACATCGATCTTTGTGATCACAAACATTACATTACCACAGTTAAAATGCTCTTCACTTCATGTATAATTACAGCACAAGTCGAAGTATTTTTAACTAAAGTTCTGAAATAAACTTGTCACACATACCTCTGGTTGATCAACAGCCTATAGCCGGCATAACGATTACCGATGATCAAGTAACAATACATACCATAAAAACCACCGAATATTCAATATCCAAATCGGTTTTACGAGCTAGTATAAACCAATTTGATTTCTTTGTGTCCGCCTTTTGAATGAAAGGTATAGATTCCTGATTTTTGGTAAAATTCTGCGTCGCCCATCCCGCCACTCGAATGTCGCAGCTTTAGTTGACTCCAAAGGGAGTAGTGCTGGGATTAATTATATGTGGTTTGTAGTATGAGGTGTGTTAAGACTGTTACTACTGTGATTGGAGTTGATCCTTTCGCCAGTTAGTCCTTCGGTATCGTCGACAAGAGAAAAGAGATAGTAATAATAATAACAGATATAATTAGTGAAGTGGTTAGGACTCTCGCCGACCATCCACATGGTACGGGGTTCGAGCCCACGCCGACGCACACCTGATATCTATGGTCGGCCTGCAAAATTTGGGCTACCGATATCCACGCTGAAAATTCCATACTTGTACCGAAAATACAGTGTGGAATCAAGCTGTAAATCAGAAATCAAAAAAAAAATCAAATCAAGTTATCCAGACTAAGAGACAGAAACGGAAATAGGAAAGCGTAACAACAGTCAGTTGATTAAGTTTGAAGAATAAGATATATATATACATATCGGTAATAATAATAATTATTATAATATTTACGAGTTGTCAGAAGAGTAGGACGAGAGAGAATATAAAGAAGTAAAACGACGAGTTTATTTGTCTACCCCTGAAAGGTGTATGCGATTTTAAGGGGATAGGCCATTTGGATGCAGTCCTTGTGTCGCTACATGGTTGTCCAGCCTTCGCTTAAGAGCGTCCAAAGACGGTGCCATAGCTACATCTGCTGGTAAGGAATTCCAGGGACGGCAAACCCGCAGTGAAAGGAAGTGGGAGCGCACCCGGGTCCTTGCCCTCTGGTGAGCTATCCTTCTGGAATTTCCACGTGGGAGCCTATACCTACTCAATGGCAGAACACCTTTGTTTGGGTGATTCTGGTCATTTGTTATTTTGTAGGCATTATTCAGATCCTTCCTTATTCAACGGCAGCTAAATGTAAATATGCCTAATATCTTTAGCATTTCAGCATATGGTTTATTTCGGAGACCAACCACTCCTTTTGTTGCCCGTCTTTGGACCCTTTCGAAGAGGTTGGCATTTCATCCAAGCCGTAGGGGTGCAATAATATTATTCACCTGAAGGTGTGGTCTGGCGTATGTTTTTTTCAGGAGCTCAGGAGTGAATGTACCTAACAGTCTATGTGTAAAGTATATAACGGTATACGCCGTCGCAAGTTTCCCCGTGTAATTTACGCATGCTTTTGCGGAAACCGCATAATATTCTTTTTATTTCTTTGGGTCTATGCTTAAATATTAGCGGGGAGTTTCGCACACTTGCTGCATTTAAATATGGTAGATCTATCATTTCACCTGCAGCAGTGAGGAAAAAAGGGTATGACTTCATTATTGTGCCTTTTTTGCTACTGGTGGATTTTATGTCGAAGACAAGCTTCAAACTAAGTGGATGATGAAATAATGGAAACGAAAAGAGGGATGGAAGAAATGAACTATTTCCGATATCTTCGCAACTTCTTGGTTTCTTGGCACCTGATTTTGTTTTGGAACGGTTCTAGATATTTGGCTAGTTCTTCTGTCAGTGGCAACCTAAAACGGCTTTGTGCCTCCCCATGAGAAGGGTTGCCTCTACACGAACTGTTCCTTGTTCCACTTGTGCGAGGACTAACATTTCCCGCCATATGTTGCTACTGAATGATTACAACCACTTATCTGGGTCACAAATTAATGTTGCCTCAATAAACCCTCTAGATAGGTGCACAGTTTTCAAGTGAAGTTTTAAAGATATATTTGCTAACTTGCGTTCGTAACATTTAATATAGTCGGATTCATGTGACCTGATTCATTTGACACATCTTAACTCATCTTGAGATTCATTTGTGATGTCTTTACCTGGGTGTTCCTTAAGGTGATTATCTGGCAGGCTAATCATCACTTTTGATAATGTTGGCAGCAGGACTAAGGGTAAGTGGTGCTTGGAATTTGTCGACCTCCCTCTAAAAAAGTAGGGCGAGTAACTTTCATTCTCTCAGTTTCTGTTATCTGTTCGGTGAGTCTCCTCATAGCTTGCTTAGTGAGACAAAATTTAGGAGTTAATTTTCTGAAGTTATCGTATCGTTCAAATTTTTCTGGTCTGGTTTTCGTTGAACTTTCCACTGCCAAACTCGGGGCTATTCGGTGAAAAGACTACCTTGAACTGCTTGTCTTAAAATCCCTTACACGAAATCCAAATATATTTTGACTATTAGTGGTCCCTATGCTCAGTCGCTGACGACAGATCTCATACAACTGTTCATTGGATTTTGCCATCATGGTGTCCGGGCGGAAATTTTTTTATAATTAAGTGATTACAGGATTTACAGCCTATGTCCACGGACTAAAGCATCGTTGTAGGTCAAAATTCTGAAAATTATAACTTTCCAGTGGAACCGAATCCATATCATTTTCTACTCCGCATTTGACTTTCATGCCTCTCAATGGATAAGTGTGGTTGGTTTTGTAACCACTCACTTTTATAGTGTTACCAGAATGGTTATTTACTTGTTAGCTCCAGTCAGAAATGACGTTCACGACTGTTATATTGCCAATCGTCTCGACTATTATCTTCTCTGTCCACAAAGCCAGATGTTTCCTTGGCCTGATCCACCCATGTGTCCAGAATTCCCTTCATACCACCCAAGAAATAAAGAAGGAATATTGCATATATGCCTTTTCAGGATAATAATTGGGCAAGCGTTATGCTGAGAAGTTGCACTCTTTTCTTTAAATTTGACCTGTAATGACGAAAAATGTTTCTGACTTTCGACATTAGTGAAGGTTCTGCCCGTTACCACACAAGTTTTCCTATGACAGAAGCATTTTCACAAACAACAGTGAATGTACTAAGCCTTTGTCCCAACTTAGAGAGAATACTGCGGTCTGAGCAGGTCAAAATGTCAATGAAGGAAGTGGTATTATGCCACCAACTAAGGAATAGAATTTACGACCAAGCTAAAAATTTTAATCCAGCCACATACATGAGCGTCGGTGGCACAGTGGTGGAATGTTCGCCAACCACACATTTGGTCCGCGATTCGATCCCCTACCGATGCACCCCTTTCCTTCGCTAAGCCAGTAATAAGACTGATAAAGAGGAAAGGTTGGCCATGAGGCCAGCAAGCCCATCGTGTAAAAATAGTCAACATTACTACAGAAGCTTCGAAACTCTAGCTTGAAGCCATATGTCCCACTGAAAATGTTGAGGGATAAAAAATAGAAATCATTTAGTACATCCACACAGGTGCCTTACTTTAGAGAAAACGCAGTGATCTGACGACACTAAACCTGAATGAAAATACGCCTTATGCTGACAGTTATCCAGCTAAATGACTGAAGTGGCATTATCAAAATATAGTGCTGTTCTTAGGACTACAACATGAGAAGACCAAACGTCAGTATCTTCATTTTCGTCAACACATTAAGTCACTTAGTAGGTGAGTACTCTGATTCTATCTAACAGAGAATTGCAAGGTATAATTTGTAGGAAACGGAATCGCCTTTCTTGCTTCCATATTCCTAATTTTTCTTAAAAACCTAGTTTATTTGATTACTTGTTGAATTTCTTATTCTTATTAATTTGTAGGTCAAACCCCTTTCTTAATTTTTATTCCATGTTCATTAAGATTAGTGAGAAAGACTATCCAGTGTTATCACTACCATCAAGACCAATGACATTTCTCACTAGGCATGAAGAAATGTATTCCTCGAGAAGGCAAGCATCGAAATGTTAGTCGCATTCATCGGATCTTCTGTTAGCAGATAGGAATCGAAGGAATTCATAGAACCAGTTAGACACCGTTAACTCATATTCCTTGGTCAATTTCTATATCGTTACAGCAGCGTTTGTACATTTCAACCACTTCCCACTATTGAATTTGCCTGAATACTTCCTTGAGCAGCAGTAAGCATAGTGTCTAGCCTTCACCAACCGGACTATGGAATCCAAAGTAGGATAGACCATGCTGAGGTGTTAATTAGGATGTGTGGCTAAAAACTAGTTACACACAGAACAAATGGATAAGTAATGGTCGCCAAGGTCACTTCTAGGTTTAGTTCAACCTCTGAAAGTCATCTGTTTGGGCAAGACACTAAACAACTGACTCATTAATATTCATTATCTTCCAAGTGGGGACAAATACCCGATAAAGTTTTTCAGTGAACACTAAATTTAGAGAGCGACGAAATAATCAATTTCCAAAAGTCTGAAGTTCATGGAAAACCTAAACGGCGGAACCATATCACGGCATCCTAGATAAGACTCTTAAATTGCTTTAGACAAAACCAGGTCACACTGTTCATCCGTCAGCTAAACTATGCTCTTTCTGAGAAATAATGATAAACTGATTATCTTCGCGTCATGAAGCAAGTACATCTGTAAATTACGCCCATGTTCATCAGCTTAAGGATAGGACAAGGCAACGCACAAACTAACTTCATAGATGCGAAACGTCAAGTCCACACCGAGAGATCTCTTAAAGTTACTGACTACATTTCATCCGAAGCTCATATTCTACTAGACTGACATTTATGTACAGCAAAGGGGATCAGAAATCGTCTGATTAGACTAAATGGGTGCGTTTGAAGGAAATTAATAAAGCTCGTATACATGGCGCGTTTGTCCACATAGCGTTTACAGAGTCCTATAAATTATCTTACAAGTGTCCTTGCAACTATGTCATGATGTCTTTATTGTTATTTCTGCTAATGTTTTGGCTAATTTGATCTGGCTGTTTGCATCCCTGTACTCTACTGTAATTGTTTATCGGATAATACGCCTTT